GCTGATAAATACGGGCTCTCTCCAGAATGGATACGGTACTGCCTTGGTAGCATCTAGCGGCTGCACCGTGGGCACTGTACCCGGGGTGTCCCAGTCAGCCATATCTGCTGTCCCTTCAATGTCATCCATGGAACGCAAACCAAAGTAGCACTGCATCCGTTGAACCATCTGCTTCATATCAAGCTCTTTCATCGTACGCATCAACTGTTTCTGCTTGGAAGATTTCTTTTTGTTCCGAGTGGCCTCGATAGCGGCTTCCATCATGGTCTCGAAAGCAGCGTATTCCTCATCCATATCTCCAGAAGGACGGTTGTGCTCCGATGATGGAGTAGGAATATGTAGCTCGAGCTGTTCCTTAGTCTCACGCGTGGTGCTGCGGCCGAGGTAGACAGGCTGAGGATACCCATCTTTGAAAGACAAGACCAGCCCAGCGGACATGCCTGTTGGCAGCGACAACTCACACTTCAGAGCACGATTTATCTCTTCCAGAAAGGCGTTAACTTTATTGGTAGGAGTAAGAAGCACGAATCTAGATCCGAGAGACGCTGGTGCGTGGACAAAATAACTGGCACTTATCAGATCTAGTTGTACAAAGCAATGGATTAAGCGACTTACATATCCCACGAGCGATTCCAGAATTTACCCGCGTCAAAGAAGCGGCTGGAAACCTCTTGGCTCAAGGACCCTTTCATATGTCTGTAGGGGTATTTGGCAATAGCTAAAAGGGGGCTAAATTGGCCGTTGGTGGGGAATACGTGTTCATCGGCCGGGACTGGGGTAGGGAGCTCGGGTGGAGAAGGGAGTTCAAGAGACACAATCTGAGTGGGTTGACTTGTCTGCTGGGTAGTTGTTGCTGACGGCCTGTTTTCCGGGTTCTCAGTAAGCTCTGCCTGAGGGCTTTCGATGTTATCATCGGGCCGAAATTCGTTTGCAGGACGGCGGCCGGTGTCCAATTTCAGGAGGTCTTCATCCTGCGCAAAAAGCAGCTTGAGACGTTCTTCGGGACCCATTGCGTTAATGCGAGTGACGAAATTGAAATTTGATTTTGTTTGCTAGGAAGGTGTTGATGGGGGGCAAGGGGGAGCGAGCGAGGAAAAGAGAAGAGGTATTTAATAAACAGCCTTGCGCTGGCAAACGCGTGCAAACGGTAGTCTCCGCCATGAGCCATGCAGCCTAAACTGGCAGGCATGAAGGATTCATCTTTCATTCGACTTCACCACGCAAACTAGATGATTGAATAAGGAACTCACGTGAATAGATATTTCCAGTGTTCTATGTAGAAGTTATTGTGTTGACATAGTTGGCGTCTTAATGCGACACTAAATGAAGGTCATTTACCGAGATCAACCTCCCGGCGGTTCAATTGTTCGGAGAAACAACAGTCAACAAGGTCATCCTAGAAGTGTCAGTAGGTGCGAAATACAATCCAGTGAATGGCAAACATTTCAATTGGACATGGCATTGTTTCAGAGCGTTGGCCTACAGAAGCGCACTTCACTCAGTTGTCATGAGCTTTCTAAAGGCATTCATAGTCATGACAAATCGCTCTATATCACTGCTGCTATTGAATGTTTCCAGGAAATTATGCTTGGCTGAGGGAATGCTCTATTACTTCATTGATTGAGTGAAGGTTGTCATCACAACTGCTACCAATCAACAGCCAAAAATTGCAGCACATGACGTTGTTTCCTGAGCATACATACCCAATGTTCGCACTCATTCACAATGATATAATCAGTTATAATAATTACTCGAATCAATTATATAGTATACAGCTTAATCAAGCGAGAGTCTAGACTGTCGAGTACTGTTCGTGTGATTCGGAAGCTCCTGGAACACGAAAGACCTCCGAGCAACTTGATCCTTCCGGGCAAACACCGACTTGAGACCATGTTCAAAGTTCAGTATGCAATATATCGTGCATACAATGATGAGGCAGGAGAGCACAAATGCTACAATGGCAAATAGCAGCATCATATCCTTCCCTGGTGTATTGGCGCGCAAAGTATTTCCACATAGAACAATGATCCGACTCAATAGATAGGCCGCAATTCCTAGGCGACAGACCTGTTCAAGTTAGCCATTTGGACGTTGTAATTCTGATGTTCCATGACTGACTGCAATAATAACAGTGGGGATTCTGTATTCACGTCGGAGAAAATATGTGCCCATAGTCATTACCAGCAGTGCGGCTGGAATGAGTGCTAAGGTCAAGGAGTACTCAGGCTCCTCAAAGTGGACATCAATGAGGTCATACTGAATGATGAAGCCCACCAAGAAAAAGAAGTCGAATTTAATTAAAACAAGATATGCCTGTCAGAGTTAATCACACTATCCTAATAAATGAAGCTCTGCAGGACTCCAAGTACCTCATATCCTCGATATTGTTTTCGACTCTGAAGGCTCCCCTGAACATACTGGTATATAGCCCAAGAAAATTCTCTGTGAACCCAATACGCGATCGGCCACATGAGGAGTGTCGCTATACTGACAGTGATGGGAATCAGAAGCTCAGCAGGCTGGATTTCTTTCCACAGGTCTCTGGATAAGTTCACCAATGGTTGATTGTAATAGTCGCGGTCTTCTCCAATGGTCAAAGTGGTAATATGGATAGACATGTACTGCATCACAGAATAGGCGAGTACACATCCATTGCTAATGCAAAGGGCTAGAAGCAAGATGATATTCTTGTGATGTACCATGTCAAGACCGAGAAATAATTCATAAGCGACAGCGAACATGATGAGTGCTATGTTAATGGGGACCTGATATGATATGGCGACCTGAGTGGCATTGGGATTGACCCATGATTGCCACTGAACGAGGTTGTAACTGTGTTGTGGTTTAGTTAATTGCTGGGGAAGGGGTGATATGTTAACAATATTTGAACTCACATGTTCAGCACGATAACAAGCAGTCCTTGCACGAACAATATGCCGCAGAACCATTTTTCGTTTTGTGAAGTTGGCCAGTACATGGCGCCACGGAGCTAATCGCAACTCTGCTGTTCCAGCTTCAATATGTACTCTAATCAATGCACTGTTGCAAGTTTGGTGTCGGCAGCTTTTAGTATCCCGAGTACATGCGGCGGTCGAAGGATTGAGCTATTGAGCTAGGGTAGCTTAAATCCACAAACTATTGTCGAAATTTACGATAGATAGTCAATCCGTTCACTCACAATTGGTGGACCCTTGTCCCATCCATCTTCCAAAATTCAGGTAGCCACTCCGGATGTCTCACTTCTTGCCCAATCAACATTCTAGAGGTACCCACAGAGTGAAAACAATTTTTTAAGGCTGGACATACATAACCGGTACATTTTGACCGAATAGTAGCCGAAGAAACGACGACCGTAAAGCATTGATTCTCTCGAACCAGCTGCGTGTTTGACTGGCCATTAATGTTGATCGACTTTGCATATCCAGCCTGTAGGTCCACGCTCACACTCATTTGGACCCGAAATGCTTCATGTAAATGGGTCTATAGGCTACAAAGTTTTCTGCCTCTTGAATCTTACGAATAAGTTTAGAATAGGCTGTGCCGTAAAGCATAGATAGTCGGTACCGAGACGGGGATCCAGGGTCTTTTGGTATGTGGGGCCTTGTGTTGCCTCCGAACGGCAGGCGGATTGAAGTTGATCACAAATCCACTGTTAGGGGTGCTCTATTCCTGCGCGGGTCCAACCGCCCGGCATCACCACTGACATAGACATGTGCGGCTGCACATTTTAGATGTGGCCAAAAACTTTCTTCCAAATTGAAGACTTCCTATCAAGCCAAACTCATGCCAGCAGAACAGAGCATGCGCTCAGTGAGTATCTGTTCATTGGTGTTGCCACGTTCTGTCCAACCGTCTTGAGAACCCCCAGTGAGGTTGAAGCTTTCTCTATCCGTTGTCCTCATATTCAATGAACCAGATGAGCCAGAAAGTCGTTCAAACCTTAAATTCGTATGGTAACCCCAAAGACTGCGTTTCTCGCGTTGATGTTGGAATTGTGTACCTCAAGTGGTATGTGGCTCGCGCTCTTAGCAGCTAATGTTATACCACACTCTCGAAGCGCATCTCCAAATTCTTGCTTCAAGCCTCCGTGTTCGTAGGATCAAACTGGGTGACTAGTATTCAAAATTTTCTAGATCCATTGCATCTTTGTGCCTGATACCCGTATGCGGTTTGATATTGGCGATGGATTTTGTCAACAACTAAGTAGATTCTGCCAATACTGACTATTAAGTTATCATAAAACACTGCTGGGTACCCCATGGATCCTGATTACTGGAGTAATCTAGGTCAAAAATCGATTCTTGATGCTTTACCTTATAGTTAGTGTTTGATGTAGACATGGAACCAAGTCATAAACCGCGCAGCAAGGGGGAGAGCATAGTGCGCTGTCGAAGCTTGTAAATCAAAGCAGGCATAATAATCTATTGTCACTGCACTAGCGTATGGATTTTAGCATCGCCGGCAAATGCCATCAATGTACTCCAGATATCATGTTGGCAAAAGGGTGGATTTTCCGGACATGAGACGGCAGCATACTTTGCTTGTGCCTGTGCCTGACCTGTCAACCTCGGATCAACTATATTTCCGGGCGCGACCCGCGGTGGTTCCAGCCGGAGGGAATCGAAGGCCCGGAACTGGCCAACATCTCCAACTGATCTCAGCGCTGCTCCTCCACTTCAGTCCCCGTCATTGGCATACTTCTATTGTTTCTCATTCTCCCTTACCTCCTCACCTCGTCCTTCCGTTGAACTTTCCCTCCCATCTCCTCTTTTGTCTTTAACTTATCTTCACCTTAGCTTGCAGGCTCTGGTCTGTCAAGCTCCCTCCATGTAAAAGTGCGGACCAGTCCCTCTTCCTGGCCGCACCCACCCCCATGGTGCCCGCCCATCTCTGACCATTTGTCCGCCTATTCCTTCAACGCTCCCTCTGTCGCTCACTCAATCGCTCCATCTATCGCCCCTTCGCATTCGTATACCCTTTCCGTCTACCTGTTGGATGGCATGGCGGACTACCACGACGCCGGTGGGCTAATTCTCGACGGCCCCTTTGATCCCGACGCCCAGGCCACCGTCACGGACTACATCGACTACACCGAATACCTCCCCGCTGACCTCATTCGCTCCCTAACTCTCATCCGCGGCCTCGATGAACGCTATTTGGAAGCTACACAAGGCGTTCATGATCTCACCAAGGCCTATGGCCAGCTGCCCACCCTCCCCTCGGACGTGCGTCCCGACGCGCGTGCTCTGCGCAAAGATATCTCCGAACAACTTGATCGCGCCATCAACGCCCGTGAATCGGCATATGCGGAGGCTTGCCGTCTCTACGATGTCATTGATCGCCACTTCAATCGGCTAGACAGCATCAAGCAAAAGCTCGAAGCTCTTCCTAAGCCCGCGTCGCGCGAACCCACTCCTCCTCCCGCGCCGCCCGTCACATCAACCAAAAGAAGCCGCTCGACCAAGAAAACCGAGGAAGTTTCTGGCCCGCCCACCACGACGCGCATCACGTTGCGCTTGGATGGCCACGAAACTGCTCGCGCGACAACTGTGCAGAAGTCGCGCACACGCCGATCTCTCATCTCCGCCGAGCATCTGGCCGACTTGCACCCCGATTCGCCTATTGCCAGCACAGAGCATTCGGATGTGGAGCCGGATAGCAAAGTGACACCCTCAGAGTCACCCCCGGAGCCGGCAGCAGCGCCCGCCAAAAAGGAGAAGGGCCGTCGGCGATCGCGGACCTCTGGATTAGCTTCGACCGGTGCTCAAGGCCCTTCTGCTCCAGCCATATCGACCAGCAATGCGTTAGCGATGCTCAAGCCACCTCCTGACGACGCCAAACCTGGAAGTGAGGATATGCCATGGTTGCGTTTGACTGAGTGGGAAATGACGAAACTGCGGAAGAAGATGAAGAAGAATGCCGTTTGGCAGCCCAGCGAGGTTATGATTCATCGCGAGCTGGCCTTGCGCGGCCGCGGCTGGGAGGCTTACCGGGCAGCGAAAGCGCAGGCCGAGGCCACTGGTGCTGAATTCTTGGACTGTGACGACATAATGAACACGTACGTTCCGGGCAAGCTGACCAAACGCAGCGAGGCTACCGGCGATACCGAGGGCACGTTCGAGACCAAGCTTAGCAACCGTGGCATGAAGCTGAACGAGGCCAAGAAGCTCAAACGGGAGAACCAGGCCCGAGAGCAGGCGGCTGCCGCTGCCGCTGCCGCCGCTGCAGCAGCACAAGAACAAACAGCCAAGGATGGAGTGCAGCCAGCAGTGGCTCCCAGTAATTTACCCACAGCCAGTGTTCCAGAAGTTCCAGCTGTGAGCAAGCCCACTCGTGCAGGGAAAAAGAGGAAACTCGAAGAGGTGACACCCCCAGAGGTTCCCCCCATTCCTTCAGCTCCCATCCCCTCCGCATCTTCTGCCCCATCTGCTTCTGCTGCTCCCTCCACATCTGATGGTACCTCCAATGTCGAACCCTCCGCACCCGACGGTCCCTCTGCTTCTACACCCTCTGTTCCTCCTACTGCTACCTCCGCTACTTCCCCTGTTCCTACTGCCCCCGCTGTCTCCGCTGCTCCTACTGCGCCTGTGGAAATTGAAACCCGTCCTTCGCTGCGAAGCGCGACTAAACGCCGCCGAACTAGCAAAGGATCCCCCACACCCGTTGATCCAAACATCGCCATCCCTGAAGAAGCACCTACAGCTGCAGCATCAGCTCCTACAGCTGTAGAAACCTCCGAGTCGCAGAAGCCTTCCTTACCGCCGTCTCCAATTGGACCCAAGCGCGCCATCGCACAACCCACGATCACAGCCGCAAAAGCGGCTACGCCAACCCCCCCGGTTACCCGACCCCCATCTCGCCGCTCGGCTGCTTTATCATTAGAACCAACCACCAATGCCAGCGCCGTTGCACCTTCTACCAAGCGCGAACTCCGTCAGAAAAGCGCCACACCTGCTCGGAAGACTCCTGTGCCAGAAACTGCTCGAGCCGCCAGTGTGAGTGCTCCCAATCGCAGGCGTAAACGCCCCGCACCCGGTCCTGTGTCTTCCGGTCAAGATGGTGGTGCAGCGGTAAGCTACGGTCGCCGCAAAGCGAAGCCCGGCAAGAAGCGGATTGGGACGCGTGAGGTTGGCCTAAAAGATGGTACCCTGGCACGCGAGGACATTCGAATCGACGAGGATGGAGTCCTCGAAGAGATCGACCCGAACGAACCACGGTATTGTCTTTGTGGAGACGTGAGTTTCGGGACGATGATCTGCTGTGAAAATCAAGAGGTATGTGTTCTATGATTCTACTTTGATGGCGCCGCTAACATGAGTAGTGTGACCGAGAATGGTTTCATCTTGACTGTGTCGGGCTGTCCGAGGTACCAAGTCGCACGGCCAAATGGTACTGTCCGGATTGTCGGGTAAAGTTCAACAAGGGCGCAGACGGAATAGTGAAAAACAATCCGCGGAGATGAAGCTATACCATACTGACTGGACAAATCTCGGATTTCGAATGGGTGGTGGATATTCATGAGACCACGATTAGGCGCTTGGGCAAATTGTTGCATAGGGCTTGATTTTGCTCTCTACTTTGTTCTCTTGATTGCAGCGTGGCGAAGATTTTATGGAGTAAAACCCCCTTTGTTGATTAATCATATTTATCATAAGAGCTAGTTCGGAACCTGGTGATGGCGCTACACTGAGAGAATAATGCAGTTAATAACTTATCTACTTGTGCACATGAAGCCAATCAATAAAGTAAACGTCTCACAGCCCCTATTAAGAACAACCACCACCAACTCAGTAACTAAAAATACTCTACTAAGCCAGACCATTCAATCCAATCTTCCACCTTATACTTACCTTCCCTCCCCCATCCTACTAACTTACTACGGATTTCTCTTTGGATTGTGTGGGTGCGATTTCTAATGTGGCTCTTTAAATCTGATCATGTCTTCAGATGATCGGCTGCTGTGTCATGCTTGGAGCGAGTTCTTGGTAAAGTAAAGTATGGGTTTATCCACGCCGATGTGCCCCGGGCTCCCAAAGACAATATCCGTCCTCGAATCGGTGCTGTTTGTCCACCAACCAGCATGTCTTTATCCGGAATGTAGCGTGGGGGTTCCATACTTCGGTCTATCAACAACCCACCCAGGTCGGACTTCGCTCCGAACGCCGACACCCCACTGGTTTCAATTTTACTGCACATACACACACACGTCTCTGAAATCCTTCTATTCACAAGTCATAGTTAATCTATATGATACAATGGACTAAGCAATATCCGGCAGCGACTTCTCAACCTCCATGGCATCCTTGATCTTCTCTGCCACTGCCTCCGCCTGCTCGGCACTCAAGCGAGCCAACGGCCGACGCGGGAATCCACCATATCCATAGTAGCTCTGAATGGCACTCTTCGTACCGGGGATAGCCGCCTTAGTGAGAACCCAGTCGGCCTTACTCAACAGCTCCTGGGCCTCCATAGCCTCCGTGAAGCGACCCGCGCTCCAGAGGTTGAAGATCTGCACACACAGCTTGGGGATGACGTTCGCGCCACCCGCCAGGATCGCGGAACCTCCGGACGCCAGCGTCTGCAGGGAGAAATCCGCAATACCTCCGAATGCAACGTACGGGTGGACCGCCTCTGTCTTGGTGCTGGGGAACTTGCGCTGGGCCGGAGCCAAAGGCGAAGAGGGAGTAATGGCGTGCAGAGCGGAAGCAACACGGGTCAACTTACCCGTGTTGGCGCAGGTGAACTTCGTGCCTACGATGTTGGGGTGCTGAGAGATGCGGATGATGAGGTCGGAGTCCATGTCAATTCCGGCCACGGCGCCGGGGTAGTTGTAGAGGATGAGAGGGATGGGGGAGCCGTCGGCGACGCTGGTGAAGAATTCGTAGAGGGTTTGGTCGTTGCCGGTGGCGTAGCGGTAGTAGCTGGGAGGAACGATCAGGGCGTATTCAGCTCCGGCCTCGTAGGATTCCTTGCAGAGATCGATGGTACCGCGGATGGATTGTTCGCTGGCACCTGCGATGACGGGGACGTTGGAGAAGCCGGCTTCAACGAGTGCAGACCGGGTTTCGTTGATCACGGTCTTGCGCTCGGCCCGGGTGAGGTGTACGGCTTCACCGTTCGAGCCCATGCAGACGAGACCAACGAGACCGGCTTTGGCGAGACGAACAGCATGCTTGCGGATGGTAGGGACGTCGAGGTCTTCGGTTGAGGGGTCGAAGAAGGTCATGGTTGGAGCGTAGACTCCGGGCCGGAGCGGGGTAAAAGGCATTCTGTAGGTCGCTGTTAGTTGTGGACTTGGGTTCAGAGGGTGTGGCAGATGTACTTGACTTGTCTGTAAGGTAGATCTGATTAAGAACTTTTCAATTAATGGGATATGTGTGTTGCGAAGCTGTAGTTGGCGTTGCGCATCATTTAATGGACTTATATAGTAGACCACCCCTCATGTTTACCCCGCGTGCCCTGCCGTACCGTTTCGGTATCATCCCACGTCTCCACCGTTTCGGACGAATTTATCCACCAATAAGCATGAGCCGGTAGTAAACTTGCCTCTTTTGTCCGTATCAAACGCCGACAGCAGCTGTCATACAGTGAGAAAAGTAGCAGCAAGGCTGCATGTGAACTAAGTGAAGAGGGGTTTTTGAGTGGGCAGTATAGTAGCATCGATTGAGAGCAACTCGTAAGGTACTGTTAGACACAAGAGACATCAGATTGACTGTATCATGTCCTGTATATCTTCCACCATTGATGCAATTCCATACCACTTATAGCTCAACCAGCCATCGGTTAATGACCCCGCAAAACCCGGTCCAGCAGGATCTCTTATATGACCGCCAACCCACTGGGTGACAAAATTGTTTCCTCTTTCCTTGTCATATTATTTCCCTCTAATATCTTTTCTTTAGACAAATTCACACCACAGCAATCACAATGGCTCCCCCAGCTGTGTTGATGGTAAGTTATTACTCCAAATTCACGCGTATCCCAACTAACCAACAACATAGGTAGGAACAGGCGAGTACACGACCGGCTACGTCGGCGGTACAGCCTCGACCTCCGACAAGAAAGTGGGTGTCGTGGGCCTGACGCTCTTCGACTTGCGTCGTCGCGGCAAAGTCGGCGATCTGAGCATGGTGGGTGTATCTGGATCGAAATTTCCCGGAATCCGTAAGTCTCACCCTTGTTCCCTTTCGTACTCAGCAATTGGCCAAACTGACTGAGAGAAACCCAGGCGAACACTTGCAGAAGAATATCTCCGAAGTCTACAACGGCCTTGATGTCTCCTTCACCTCCTTCCCCGCCGACAACACCTCTGACCCAGAAGCCTACAAAGCCGCCATTGACGCCCTCCCCGCCGGCTCTGCAATCACCATTTTCACTCCCGACCCCACCCATTACCCCATCGCTTTGTACGCCATTCAGCGCAAGATCCACGTTCTCATCACCAAGCCTGCGACCAAGCTCCTCTCCGACCACCTCGACCTGCTCGCTGAGTCTCGCAAGCACAATGTCGTTGTGTACATTGAGCACCACAAGCGCTTCGATCCCGCCTACAGTGATGCCCGTGCTAAGGCTGCCAAGCTCGGCGACTTTAACTACTTCTACAGCTACATGAGCCAGCCCAAGAGCCAGCTGGAAACATTCAAGGCCTGGGCTGGTAAGGACTCGGATATCTCTTACTATTTGAACAGCCACCATGTGGACGTTAATGAGAGCATGGTGCCGGACTATGTCCCCGTGAAGGTAACGGCTAGTGCGGCGACGGGAACTGCTGTCGAGCTGGGCTGTGCCCATGAGACGGAGGACACGATTACTCTGCTTGTGGAATGGAAGAAGAAGGATGGGTCAAGAATGGCTACGGGTGTTTACACATCTAGTTGGACGGCGCCACAGAGGGCCGGTGTACACTCTAACCAGTACTTCCATTGTAAGTCGCTCCGTGGGGTTTATTCATAGCCTTGGAGAATGGTCAATGCTAACAAGTGCAGATATGGGATCGAAGGGTGAAATTCGTGTCAACCAGGCTAAGCGTGGCTATGATGTTGCCGAGGATGAGGCTGGATTGTCTTGGATTAACCCGTAAGTTTCTACTTTTGGCGTTAACTTGCTTGTTGTGCTGACTGACAGTTGCGCAGGTTCTATATGAAGTACGCACCCGACGAGGAGGGTAACTTCGGTGGTCAGACTGGCTACGGATACATCAGTTTCGAGAAGTTCATTGATGCCGTCACGGCTGTTAATGAGGGGCGGTTGACTCTCGATCAGCTAGATGCCAGGCCGATCCCGACTTTGAAGAACACGATTGCCACAACGGCAATCCTGCATGCAGGACGCATTTCCTTGGATGAGAAGCGGTCGGTGGAGATCGTGACTGAGGATGGAAAGTGGGAGCTGAAGTAGATACCTTTAGAGACGCTTGTATGTAATTACTTTGTTATGTATGGCTGTATGAACGTTTATGATTCTGGTCCATCTGTTGCGGTGAACATGCAGGTTTGCGACAACTATTCCTCGGAAGCTTATTGCGGCAGCCATGCTAACCCCTTGGCCTTGAGGCTTGAGAAAGGGGCTTTGAACCTTTCGGATAGCCCAGTTTGAAGGGGATCATTATCCCCCGTTACAGGATTCTCTCTTTGTTCAGGCGGCAGCGATTGAGGCTGTGACCCGGATAGTCGCACAGACTTACGCTACGACTAAGCACTAGGTCAGTGAGTACATGATTCACACAAATTCCAATCACAAGCAGAGCATTAGAATCTCCAGTGTGTCTACTTAAGCAATGGCCGATCACACGAGGCATAATTGCATTGTGTTTGACAACGAATTCCTGCCTGGCCAACTGGCACTGACAAAGTGGGCCAGACCGTGAAGGATTGGCAACCCCACGGGGGCGGGAAGAAGATGGAGATGAGATGGAGTCGATCCCTAAGTCGGAACAAGAAGACAAAGGGGTTCGTCTCGACTCTCGGCATGCACAGACGAAAATCGGGTACACATAGAATTAGACCTCAAACATCTCCTACAGGAATTGATACCTTGATGCAGGAGTGACTCCTCCCCACCCACTACAGATCAGATACATGTTAATGCCTGAACAAGATTTCTTCGCTGAGACGTGCATGGTATGTAGGACACCAAACATCTCTTCATCAGGCATCCACCTGAATGCCAGACCCCTGGGATCAAATCCAATCCCATTCTGCCATCCGAGCCATGCGAGCCTTACGGCTACCCTAATTGACAGGGGCGAACAATGGCCAGCACAAAGGAAAAATATCCGCGGCACACATCTTTTTATGGTTTAAAACTTAGCAGAAATTGAAGCCCGCCACCAGTCAGCCTGGGAGAGCCAATCAAGGGCCTGGACCGGGTCGGGGCTGATCGGGCTGGGGGGCAAAAGAGGCTCACCGCCCGGGCGGCGGGCCTCCCTTTTCCCTCGCCCGATCCCCATGCCTCCAGCTTTTT